GATTGATTGATTGATTGATTGGTTGGTTGGTTGATTGATCGATCGATTGACGGATTAATCACTTATGATCGATTAGTTTCTGAACTTTGAACTTCTTCGAAACTGCCAAGTTTCGTTTGAGCGACTTGTAGTTACGATGCTCTGACTAACACTGTATGAAATAGAGCATAAAATTAAGCGATCTCAGTCTGCAGTGATTTTCTACATACCGAGAAATTACAAGACTCGTCTATTCCCCTTTTCGGTGCACAGATGCCCAGGTATTTAATACAGCAGCGGTCTTTACCACAATCTGCATCTGTATTACAGGTCTGAGGAAAAGAGAAACACAAAGCTGAGAACAAATTACGAAAATGGAAAACACATTTGTTCAGACAGACACTGCGCCCAGGCCAATTCCCTCTCCAAAACGTTTTCATTAACACATGTACGGTTGAGGAGAGGACAAAAGAATATAACCGCTGTATATAGTGCCCTAGCTATTAGTTTCTTTGATGGTAGCCTCAGATGGTGGGTCTAAGTCCGCTTTTCAATCCAAAATATTGATTCTTTCATACAAGGGCCAGAACAAGAAATCGCAAGAAAACGTAGTTTACAATCGTTCTTGGGTGTGAAAAATTTGTAGGCAGGGTGTCTTTGCAGGGGCGACAGAAAGAAGGGTACAACCGCTGTACGAATGGATCAGTTTGACGCTGGGGAATTGGCCGGGAAATGTGTTTTCAGTTCATGAATGAAAATGGATCTTTTACGATAACTGACGTTAAAAATTAAAGCAGTAAACTTACATCAATATCAGGAAGGTCCCACCGCTTCTCTCTATCGTGCTCAGCTTTAGCTGGGATTTTCTCGCATGACGCGTTGAAAGCAAGAGCGCATAACAAAACTGCCACCAACCTCTTCATGTTTTGGGATTTCCACTAAGCTCAGTGCAAAAATGGAGACTTTCCCCCAGAGTGAAAAATAAGAAATTAAGTGCGTCACCTTTATTTAATTCCCAAGATTGCATAACATCTATTTTCTCCCTGCAGCATTTATCCCATTCATGATCACCAAGAAAGATGACGCAAACATATAGGAAAGACGATCACGATGTACGGAAATATTTATCTTGGTCTATCGATAATTTCTCAGAACTAATTTGCAAGAACAGTATGACACTCTGTAGGGAGAATTCGTATCTCGAGAATGCAATTTAAAATCTTTTCAGAATTTCCTCCTTTGATAATTTTTTTGTTAAGAACTGAAAAGTATATTCAGCTTTGATTGATGACCTTTGTTGAAAATAAATTTGTACTGAAGAGAACTTTAGATAGTATTGTTAAAATTTGTATAAAACCTGAATGTATGTATACCATCAGATGTTTCTTGATCAAACTAAAGTTTGTTTTTCTTAATCTGGCTTATGTACACATTCGTACAGATTAAACCAAAACAAAGGAGGTTTTTTTAGCGCACTTGCACAACACTACCTTTTTAACAAAAGTATCCTGCGCCTTTGTGTTTCTGTACGGAGATTTTTGGTCGAGTATTACAAAAGAAACACTCGCATGGTGCACCTTTCGTATCAAAATTACAAATATATACTGAGCTCGTGTAGTGTTGTGATGATCATGTCTTTAATTTGTTAGTGTGAATTAATCAACTTCCCTTCAAGTTACTTAAAGTGAGGACAACAACAACTTTATGTCACTGATAAATGGGGAAGTGGGTGACAAAGTGATCGCTGATTATTTTAGCCCCGTGAATCCCTGGAGTGTCAACAAACAAAACCTTCAGCCCAGGGGGATGCACACAATAGATGGAGGGGAAGGAGTTGGCCTCCTCTCAGCCGGGGCCACCGTTCGCATTCCCGGGTAGAGAGAAGAGAGCTGGGCCTGTTCTCTTCTTGGAGGGAGTGGGCCTCCACTAACCTGACTCCAGGATGGAATTAAGGCTTCAAAAATCGAGCCTATGGGGGCAAAAGTGTGACGAGAGGAGCACTACCATGTCTTAAATTTGTTAGTGTCAATTAACATATGCGATACGATTCTATTTACGACTCCGTGAATTAAAGGTTTCAAAGAAAATAGTATGTTTATTTAGTCCTTCACCTTCATGCTGTCCTATTAATACTCCAAAGTCCCCATAACTAAGTCAGTTAAAAGAAAAACATCGCAGTTGGCCAATTTAAGATATATAGCTGTTGCTACAGGAATGCCGCAAACATTCGATTTTAGCGCGAGCTTATTTAAGGAGCTATGCCATGGTTTGCGCATCTTGTAAAGTTTAGACTCAATTTTTCAAGTTCGTCGTTTGTAATCCGTGTTAATCTTCTCCATTCTTAACCATCCTTGTTCCTTTATGGTTTATCATTATCTCTTTGGTGTTTATCTTATTAAACTGTTATTTTCAGGTTTCCTAAAATTTAAAGGTAATTTTGTATGTGGCCAAAATAACTCAAAATACCGTGACTGAGCTCCTTTAAAGCAGATAATCTGGAAATAACTGATCCAGACCTATTGAAACAAATTTTGTCAATATTTTTCCAACATCGGGCCAAACCTGGCCAAGGGAATACAATCCACCATATCCCACAAAAAGGTTTGTTGTCTGGAACTTTCAATCAATCGATTTTTCTAAACTTGACGACCGGGATGACTGAGAAATTATTGCTATCTCAAACCAATTTTAATCAGGTAAAGCTGCTGGCTGTGACAACATCCCTATGTCTATTTAATAGCAGTCTATAAATTTCGTTTCATCTCCGCTCACGCACATTGTTAACTAATCTGTTATGCATGGTATTGTTCCAGACCAAATGAAAATCGCTCGTGGGGTGTCCATTTTCAAAGCTGCTGACAAAGTTTTTTTTTTTCTAATTCTAGGCCTGTTTCGATTCTCCCTTGCTTGTCAAATTATAAAATCTTCTCCATCCTTAACCATCCTCATTCCTTTATGGTTTATTATTATCTCTTTGATGTTTTTCTATTTTAGTGAACCACTATTTTCAGGTTTCCTTCAATTTAAAGGTAATTTTATACTTTGTCGAAATACCATGACTGTGCTCCTTTAACTATCAGGATAGCTTAAGGTAAGGGGGGGGGGGATGTCTATTGGAGATGTGTTCGAATAACAAACCACGAGCTTGGTTAAATCTGCCCTTTGCGAAAATGTTACAACTCCACACTCTCCACAACCCTCCTCCATCTAAACGGGTTGTCACTGCAACCATTTAAAGGACCAACTAAACAGAACAGTTCCCCTTCGTCATGGATCATTTTGCTATTTAATAAATGGAAGAACTTTCACTTGATTATTTATCTTTATTGAAGCACCAAATATTTTTCAAAAACTTCTTGAAATGAGACGATTAAATCTTTTGGCTTTAGTGTTTGGTCCTCAGAAGGAGGACTCATTAATTTTACGCAAGGTTAGTGATATCTGGTTTCGAACAGCGGTAAAATTTTTGACCGTTGTATTCTTCATATTTGGTGCACTCCAGTCCCGACCTGCAGGGACAAAACGACTTCTGAAAAAAAGAAAAAAATTGCGAGAACAAATTAGTTTTTTTTATTATAGAGCGGTTTTCAATTGTAACAGGAGAGAAACGCTAAAAGGTTTTTAAAACACATTTCGACGTTTCGGCGATGCGTTACACCATTATCAAGTTAAAAAGTGAAAAATATAAGGTGTAATAAGAATGTAAGGTGTAAAAAGAATAAAATAGGATACATACATATAACATTTGCGGGTCCTATGGGTATTAAGGTAGGAAACACAATAAGGAAAAAATTTACGAAAGGTCACGTAAACAGTTTGAGTGAACGGAGTCGGTTTGCGTGTCAAGAGAAGGCTTAATGTCCTTTACGTACAGCATCTTGTAGACTAAGCAATCGAACTTGCTGTTACATTTGCTCAGGACTTTGAAAAGTACTTTGTTTTAATCTTTTAAATAATTATAATGTTTAAAAATTTAATTTGTACATAGTCCTGATATTTGTTAGTGACTCTTTTTAGGTGTCCCCAATTAGCAGCAATGCCAAATCTCATTGACACGTAAATAAAGTTATTATTATTATTATTATTATTATTATTATTATTATTATTATTAT